CCTTTCCTCACATTGTGCCTCAGCCCCAGGGGCCTGGTCTCCCCCCAGGGGAATTTCCCATTCAGAATCAGCCACAAGAGTGGCTCCAGGGACAGGTGCAACTGGCCAGGAGACCCTTAATTTGGGTCCTCAGGCCACATTTACCCCCACTGCAGCAGGGCTTCACCCTCCTGAGAACCAGACTTTAAATCCGGACTATCTTCAGTCCATGATAGCCCAGGCTGTGGCTCAATTTATGGCTTCCAACGCCCCACAGCCACCCCCACAATCCATGTATCACTCCCAATCTCCAGATATCATGGATGAACCTTCATCAGATCTAGAATCAACAGGGGTTGAACCATCAGGTCTGATTATGTCAGAGGACGAGGGTATCACTCCATCTGACCCCACCCCTCCTGTCAGTCTCTTGACCATTCACTCTTTAATTCCCTGCTACTCAAGGCCTGCACAACTGCAAACCTCCCTCAAGAACAGGAGACTCCACCTTCAACATCCAAAGGTCCCCACGCCATATATACTGAGCCCTCAGTCTCTCAGAACTATATTCCCTGCCCTCCCCTTTTTCTCAATATTGTTCAGAAACAATGGGAGAATTTAGGATCCCTTTCAAGTCCTGGTGCCATAGAAAAGACATTATTCAATGTTGCCCCTTCTTTGACCTCACTACTGGAAATTCCCCAGATTGATGAGCCCCTGAACTCATTGTTTCCCAATGCTAACATTCCTGGGGATATAAATGAGGCACTTAGGGCAGAAGATAAAAAGATTGAGTCCGCATTACGCAGGTCCCATCTGGCATCAGCCTGGGCAACAAAGGTGGCAACATCCATGGCCTTCTTCACCAGGGCTTCAGTTCTATGGCTACGTGAGCTCCAGGACATGATCCCTCCGGACCAGCTCAGAACTCACCAAAATTTGGGTAAGTTAGTGGCTATGTCTCAGTACCTAGCCGACGCTTCTCTGCACACGGCCAGATACACTGCCTGGACCATCGCGGCAGACATCTCAGCACGAAGGCTCCTTTAGCTCAGGAATTGGCGAGCAGACACCAAGGCCAAATGGCGTCTGGCCTCTAAACCTTACACAGGTGGACATCTCTTTGGTAAGGCACTAGAACCATACTTAACAGAAGGTAAGGACAAACGTAAAACTCTGGTTAACTCAGCAAAGAAAGGAGACAAGCGCTCGGGGAACAGCATGTCGCAGAGCAATTACAGGAGGCAGCCCTTTCGGCCAGCTCCATCCTGGGATTGGGCCCAGGCATCTCGCTCTTCCTTTCAGAGACAAGAATGATAGCAAGATCGATCAGCATACAGAAACAGAGCGCAGATCCAGACCAAGCGGTCCTTTCGAGGCGCAGGGGGTCATTCCTTTAAATGAGGCAAGTGATCTCGCAGCCTCACCTCCCATAGGAGGCCGGCTGGCCCTTTATTCCAGCACTTGGGCAGCCACAACTACAGATGCATGGGTGTTAGACACCATCACCCAAGGTCTGAGACTAGAATTTTGTTCCCAACCACCTGACAAGTTCCACTCTTGCCCTATCCCAACGAGCAGGACCAGAGCTGATCTTATGTCAGAAGCCATAGCTCATTTATTACAAATACAAGCAATTGAACCAGTACCACAAGACCAAGAAGGACGAGGGTTTTACTCAAACCTCTTCGTCATCCCTAAGACTTCGGGGGGCTGGAAGGAAATCTTAGACATAAAAGGTCTAAACCTTTACTTGAGGTATAAGAAGTTTAAGATGCAATCACTTCAATCAATCCTGGCTAGCATCCGGCAAGGTGACTTTCTTACCTCAATAGACCTGACTGAGACATATTTGCACATTCCTATTTTTCCTGACCACCGCAAATTCCTCAGATTCAGCTATGCCCAACGCCACTACCAGTACAGAGCCCTACCATTTGGCCTCTCATCTGCACCGAGAGTATTTACAAAGGTACTGCTCGCAGCCCACCTTAGACAAATTCCAATTAGAATTCAATGCTATTTAGATGACATACTAATTCAGTCATCATCATTCCAAAATGCTCAGTCAGACCTCGCCCTAGCCATCAAGATCTTTCAGGAACACGGTTTTTCTGTTAATTTCCAGAAAAGTCATACCGTACCAACAACTCGGCTCCTCCATTTGGGCGCTGTTATAGACAATTGTACGGTCTACCTATCTCAGGACCGACGGAACTCTATTCAGACCCTTGTACGTTGGATCCGAAAGGACAGAGTAGTCTCATTGGCCTCCCTATCACAGCTACTGGGGAAGATGGTGTCCTGCGTGCAAATTGTGCCATGGGCACGTCTCCATGCCAGAGAATTACAGTGGCTTCTCCTTCCATTTCAGAGACTTCACACAAGCACATCCCACCACAAGGTCCGAGTTCCACGGTCGGTGTTGAACTCCCTTCGATGGTGGGACTCTCCGACACTGTCACGGGGAGCAGAATTCAAAGAGCCAGACAGGATTACCATCACCACAGACGCAAGCCTGTTTGGGTGGGGGGCACACCTCCACACACACTGGGCTCAAGGTCGGTGGTCCAAGCAGGATCTAAAGAACAATATAAACTGGCTGGAACTCAGAGCCATACACATGGCCCTAAAGAGATTCAGCAACATAGTACAGGGCCAACATGACCTGATTTTAACCAACAACACCACAGCCAAGGGCCATGTCAACAGACAAGGGGGGACAAGGTCCAGGCCTCTCATGCAGGAGGCCAAATTGCTGGGGTCTTGGGCGGAATTAAATCTTGCCTCCATCAGGGTGGAGCACATATCCGGAGTGACCAAACAACAGGCGGACTCACTGAGCAGAGCCACCGTGGACCATTCCGAATGGCAGCTGGATCCGAAGGTGTTCAGAGAGATCGTGGACAGGTTTGGTTCCCCAACCTTGGACCTTTTTGCCTCCCCAACCAACTCACAACTTCCCAGATTCCTTTCCCGTCTCCATCAGCGGAGGGAACAGATGCACTCCGCAGTCCCTGGCCCAGGGAACTGCTCTATGCCTTCTCTCCCCTACCGCTTCTTCCTGCCACGATCAGGAAGATCCTTTGCGAACGAGCAGAGGTCCTCCTGGTTGCACCGCATTGGCCGAGACACTCTTGGTTCGCTGACCTGATGGAGCTCTCCACATCCCCTCCATGGAGGATCCCAGCAAATCGCGTCTCCCTCATTCAGGGGGAACTACACCATCCAGACCCTCAATGGCTCCAGTTAACCATCTGGCACTTGAGAGGCAGGCCTTAGGCCGAGACTCATATTCGTCAAGGGTCATAGCCATGATCCAGCAATCCAGGCGACCCTCGACGAATAGAATATACGATGCCACGTGGAAAAGCTTCTGTAATTGGTGTTCAGTTCACAAAATTGACCTTTTGACCGTTTCAGTGCCAGTCATCTTGGAGTTCCTGATGGATGGTCTGGACAAAGGGCTTTCCACAAGCACCATTCGTAGGCAGGTAGCAGCACTTGCCACAGTTATTTCCTGCGGCAATGAATCCTTAACACATCACCCTATGATACGCTCCTTCCTAAAGGGAGCCAACGATGCCAGGCCACCAACTGTACATAGATATCCCTCGTGGGATCTTCATCAGGTTTTACAGGCTCTTGTTTCGCCACCCTTTGAGCCTATTTACACTTGTTTGTTTAAACAATTATCAATGAAGGTGGCTTTTCTTGTGGCTGTAACTTCAGCCAGAAGGATCTCTGAGCTGGCTGCTCTTTCAGTGAGGAAGGACCTATGTACTTTCCATAAGGACAGGGTAACCCTTAGGCTAGACCCCTCCTTCATGCCCAAAGTTAATTCCTTGTATCACAGATCTCAGGAAATAGTTTTGCCGGACTTCTGTCCTAACCCATCTAATGACATAGAGGTCCAGTGGAACAAATTGGATGTGCGCAGGGCCATATATTATTATATTCAGAGAACCTCATCCTTCCGCAAAACAGAGGCTCTGTTTGTGTCCTTTCACTCTTCGTCACTAGACAAAAGGTTTCTTCACCCACAATAGGCAGGTGGATTAGAGCTTGTATTTCTCTGGCATACCAGACTCAGTCACTGCAAGATCCTAGGCATATCACGGCCCATTCCACCCGGGGCACAGCTACTACAGCTACCTGGTCTACCCAGGCCTCCATAGAGGAAATTTGTAGAGCAGCAACATGGGCATCGCCCTCTTCCTTTGTCCGTCACTACAAGATGCATATATATGCCTCTTCTATGGCTTCATTTGGCCGCAAGGTTCTAGAACACGCATTAAATTGGATGGGACCCAGGCCCAAGCTAATTCCCACCCCTAGGGACATAGGGCTTTGGTATGTCCCATCCATGGGTTCTCCATCCAATCATGCTGGAGAAAGGGGCATTTTCTTACCTGAATGCCTTTTCTCAGCATGATGATGGAGAATCCACTCCCTCCCATTAGGTCAGTTGGCCTGGTTCCCATATTGATCAGACGCGTCGGATTAAAGTCTGAGTATCGCCTTAGCCTAAAACTGGGGTGCAGTTGGCACAGCGGGGGCGGTACTAAATTTCAGACTTAGTCTAATTGGAGCAGATAGATTGAGACAACCCATCCGTGGATTCTCCATCATCATGCTGAGAAAAGGCCCATTTTTGTTTGTTTCTTTGTTTTTGTCTTGGTGGGTCACAGGTTCCTGAAGAGAGTGAATGGTGGAACTTAAACTAGGAAGACTGAGAAGCAGCATTTTATCTTACAAAGATTAATAGCTTTTTTCTAATTTTTTGCATGACATGACTTCCATGAAAAATCTTCTCATATTCACCACAGCCTTTGAAGTGGGAAAGCAGGAAGGATGAAATAGATATGCTTATTTACTTATTGCAAATAGACAATTAAGATGGGTAACAAACTTCTTGGGCTGCACATTTAAATCACTCTGATTCTCTTCTTAGGAGCAATATAATTAATCAGAAATAACAATAATATAAGATTACTTATACTGAGAAGATGTTATCTTACCTTTTGCAGCATTGCGTTCCCTTGGTGTGCATTGACATTAAGTTGGCTAATTTCCCTTCTGTACTGATATTCATACACTTGATTTGTGATGTTGACAAGCAGGGTGGGTAAGCCAGGCTTGAGTTTATCACAGCTATAGACATTTCCAATTTCAAAGTCAGATGGAGCTGTGGCATACCGTAAAATTAATCCCATGATGAGACCTAGAAAGGCAAGAGACAGTCTATGAAAATGAAAGGTTTTTCCCCAAAGCAAAATGGATGCATATGCACATGCATGAGGGACAGCTACTCAGGGGATACTCTACAAAGCACCTACTTTTGTATCAGTTGTTTGCCCCACATAGTTTGAAGCACTTCTTTCAAATGATTTGCACAGCATCAGGGCATAAATACCCATTCTCCTTTTAAAAAAGCATTTTGTGACACATGTAAATTGTGTTTAAAATGATGAATAATGAAGTATTTCCCCCTGAATACTGCATTCCTGTCTTTTTCTTTTGATATTTTAAATTAAATATTACTTGCAAACAAAATTTCTCAATTAATATGGCTAAAAGTAGAATTATGGAAGTCATAGTCGCTATAGATGATAGCACAAAGCTGGAGAAGACTTTTTTTTTTTTTAAAAAAGAAAAGCTCAGGTCATCAGGTTGCCTGTTGACCTTTAATTACAGAATTAAAGAGTAACAAACCCATAGTTCTTAAAAGTGTGTGTAATATATAATATTCCATTTATAGAAATCCATCCATGCTGTTTTCAAAAATGAAAATGCAAATTTTTAGGTCAATATAGAAGCTCTACTAATTTTAGATATATTGCCTACAATTTTTATGATAGCACAATATGCCTGTAGATTGAGATCTCTGCAAACAAGACTCAGTTTTTGATAGCAAGGAGGAGACAACCCACATATCAATTGTCTGTGATATCCAGGTGTATTTATCTATTCTGACATTGATCAGGTATAAGTTATTTTATTTTTCATGCTTTTCTTTCTGGTTGATCAGACTTGAACTTTAAAAATAACACACCTCTTTCTTTATACTTCAAAGTTCAAACTACTATCACATGTAATAAAACTATTATAGGTCTGCATGAAAATATATTAGCAGTAGCAATAGCACTTAGACTTATATGCGTCTTCATAGTGATTTAGAGCACTCTCTAAGCGGTTTATATAGTCAGCATAGTCAGTTTTCCCCCAACAAACTGGGTCCTCATTTTACCAACTTTGGAATGATGAGAGGCTGAGTTAACCTTGAGCTGTCAAGATCAAACTCCTGGCAGTGGGCAGAATCAGCCTAAAACACTGCATTCTAACCACTCTGCCACCATAGCTCAGCTTAGTTTATATTCAGCCCATTTCTTGCATCCCCATTTTTAGAAGTATTTATTTTGAACTGTATTAGCTGCTAAGAAAATCACTGCTATTATAACAGGCAAAAGAACAAACCTATATATTTCAGGATTTTTGAAATGATATTGTTGTCTCCAATTTGGATCTGAGCCTGGTGCCAAAAGCCAATAAAGAACACTAGACACGAGATGCAGGTTTTGTTTGCTTTTATTGAAGCACTTTAGAAAAAGGGGTCCCAGCCAGCAAAATGCCAGGACCCAGAAGGCTTAAGAAAGCTTTATACAATTTCACTAAAGCAGAAGGAGGGGCAAGGTATAAGAAATATCATCTAATAAAGATTTTAGTAATGATATAACAATTGTCCTATTGGTCTCTAGCCGTCCCTATTCCAATGAAAACTTCAGGAGTTATCTAATACACATTCTATTTGCTCCCTATTCCTAACTTCTAGCTGAGGTAGACAGGATGTCTAATTCTTTGTAACTGTTATCAGTCCTCTAACCACCTAGAATTGTTACAAGTGTTACATGTGTATGTTGTCTGTGAATAAGCATTCTTTGTTCTTGCCAGACAGATTCCACAATTACAGGCATCCCAGTTTTCTTTCAAGTGCATGCCATAGCCTTTAGTAGACAGCCCATCAATATGTGCAGCAAATTGCCATATAAAAAAAATTCATTGAACTATATTCTTTTGGTAAAAGTCTGATCAGGTTTTTTATGAAATTAGAAAGTATTATTAAAACTAGAATTATGATTTTATTACCATGAAGAAATACTGTTTGTCAAGAGTTAAGGAATAAATAATGATTCTATAATACATTGGTACACCTGTGGTATATCTTCTGTTAGGGTAATCACAGATAAATGAAGAATGAATAGGAAATCAGCAGGGACAAATCCAGTTCCTTTCTATAATGTTCATATGTTTTCAGGGACAACTTTATTTTACTCTCTAATGATTTGCTGAACAAGACAGGGTTACATCATTACGTTAAGGCAATTTGTTTGATTATAATATTAAGCTAAACTAATAATAGTAACAAGATCAATTAAATCAAAATTGCTGATTCAAGTACAACACAAAACAAAATAAATATCAGCATATTTCTTATCATACCTTACATTATTCTAGAGCAGTGGTTCTCAACCTTTCTAATGCCACGACCCCATAATACAGTTCCCCATGTTGTGGTGACCCCCAACCACTTATACATCACCGGGTGCCAGGGGCATGGCCAAAGGGGGGAAAAAATGGTGGACAGCCTTGTTTGGCGACCCCTGTGAAATGGTCGTTTGACCCCAAATGGGGTCCCGACCCACAGGTTGAGAACAACTGTTGTAGAGAAACCAATCCATTCATGAATATTTCAGAGGCACAACAATGGGGATGCAACAGGCAGTAACTCAATAGCAAGTTGAATTTGGAAAGAAATAGGAAAATATTCAGGCCTAAACACTTCTATAGTTTTTCTATATTTCTTCTTAAAACATTTTTTTAAAGCAAGGTACAAGAAATAAAAAGGATATACTTCATAAAACATAATCCTTTGTTAAAATATGATTTAAGCAAAATAATTGTGAAATAACTAATGTGATGGCAAACTATTATTTAATATTTTCTCTTAATGAATTTATTTGCATTCAACTTATTCTTTAACAGGACTTGTAAAATACTCCAATATGAATATATTCCTGACTTCCATCATGGTTACATTTTGGTTTTATTATTTTATTGCACTAAGACCATGGTAGTAATCCGTTATGCAGGAGTGGAGCTTGTGCTCTTGAACTTAAGTGACAAAATGAGGTGTTTTTAGTTTTCAAAATCAGTATATGGATGGAAGTGGAAGGCTTCTATGAGGCATCTGCTCCAATTTGTATCCTTAATATCCCCTTAATTCCATGGCAAATGTTCAAACATCTAATTTAAGTGGCGTCATTTCCAGATTTTGAATTATTTTGAAATGCACAAATAAAAACATTCCAACTTTTAAACCTAATAAAAACTCAAGTACATAAATTAAGTATCAAATCTGATACTTCCCCTTATATCAGCATCCTTTTGGTAATGTCACATGCATCCCTCCAACCTGTGGAAGTGTAGCTACCTTAAAGTAACATATACAGGTAGTCCTCAGTTAGCAACTGCTTTGGATAGTGTCAGTTCATAATTATGATGATGATAAAAAATTACTTTGCAACCAATGCCCACATTTACGACCTTCATTGCATCATGCACATTAGAGAAGGTTAGGCCGTTACATGCCCCTTAAGTTTTAAACAAACCATGATTTAGCAAGGTGCCTGAATTTAGTCACACACTGTTATAAATAAAGGCAACATTATTTCTATATTGTATTCCCTGACACCTTTGATGCTGTCAGGCTTTTTGCCAATTGTCTTTGAATTAAAAACATGAAATCTTTGCTTGCCTGAATGCCTCTGGGCTCTAATAACATCCCATTAGGGTGGCAGAAAGTATCAGTAAGGCTAGTTTGAGTTTTGATACATGCTGGCTTGTGACTGATTGATAGCCATTTTGTGGGTGTATCCACTGAGAGCTTTCAAAGTGCCAGATGTGACCCTTTCCCCAAAGCTTTCAGCCCTTGGTTTCAGCCCTTGCTTGCAGGCTCTCACCTAACTTTCCCCTTCAAGGTACAGTGCCACCGCCTTGATTGTTACTCATTACTAAGTTTGGTACACTGCAATCATGGTTTCTGAATCAAGTCAAGTAATCTGGTTCATATGTCACACTGACCAAAATGCCTGAATGCACATAATGCATTTTGTCAAAATATAGGTAATCCTTCTCTTACGACCAAGAAATATGACATTTCTTGCCATATTTGTTAAGTGAAGCACTGCAGTTGTTAAGTTAGTAACAGGTTGTTAAGTGAATCTGGCTTCCCAATGACTTTGCCATTCAGAAGGTCACAAAAGGGGATCACATGACCTTGGGAGACTGCATCAGTCATAAATATGAGTCAGTTGCCAAGCATCTGAATTTTAATCATATGTCTATGGGGATGCTGCAACAGTTGTAAGTGTGAAAAACTGTTGTAAGAGACATTTTTTCAGTGCTGTTGAAACTTAGAATAGTCACTAAATGAACTGTTGTAAGTCAAATACTACCTGTATGTAACATTATATGTAGTACTCATTTAGCGATCACAGTTGGGACTGGCTACTTTGTCTTTATAGGAAGCAGTTGCTAAAATCACATGACTATGATTGTGCTTATAATTTTATATACAACAACATTTTCTGTAGTTGCCTAGCTGACAATAATAGCAAACATGTGCATGATGCTATGAAGGTGGTAAATGTGAGTGTTGGTTGCAAATTTACTTTTTTATTACTATCATAAATGTGAATTACCACTGTCCAAGGCAGTTGCTAACTGAAGATTACCTGTAGATAGTAGCTCCAAGCAGTAAATTTTGATGGCTTAGAGGAATGATATGTTGAAATCTATATTATTTATCACCAAACTGAACAGATTTATACAAAAGGAAGAAGGAAAAATATTCAAGCTGTAGTATAGTACAATTCTTCAAACTGATTGGAAAACCTAATAAAGAATAATGGATTGTGGAGCTTCACATTTCATTTTTATGAAATCAGCCCTCACTATTGACACACTGAGCATGTGTTTTAAGGGAGAGTCTCTGTGTTCAGCTGAACACACTTCAATCCTTTGCTTGGCCTATTCTTCAAAATGTATTACAAGAGACAGTGCCCAAAAGAGCAGCATAAGGCCAGGATTTGCTATCTTGATTCTTCTCAAATTTGTGCTCTTGGGCTCACTTTTGCTTATTTGCTTACTTAAGGAGCAAAGTCCTCTTCTAGATCTCTTCCTTGAAACCATAAATTAGCTATAGCCATTTTTGCACACAGAGAAAACACTATACTTCACCTCCTTAGTAGATGAGCTTTGGGGTATTGATATATATAGTTAGAAGATTTCAGGAATACTTCAAAGCAGCCCTGCAAATCTTTAACAGGCTGTGGTGTTTCATATCCTTAATGGGACCACTTCACCTCAGTGAATTATTTACATACATCTACTAAATATTGCTTAAATAAATGGAGCACATGTTTGTAACTTCTAGAAGCCTAGCCAATGATGCAACATGCTGGGGGCTGTATTCAGCTGTAGCTGAAGGTCCAAAGTTTTATTCATGTACACATAAACATGCATATATTTTATTGTCTTATTTCATTAATTTATCAGAACTGAAATATGCATAAATTAGTCTACTGTTTTGGAAAAACAAAGCTCACCAGTGATTTAATAGTCAAACAATTGTTTTTAAAAACCAGCACATTCAAAAAAAAAAAAAAATCCTGATAGGGCTCTGAATTTATAATATAGAAATGCAGTTATAATTTATGCACTGAAGACAATCACAATCTTTCTGTCCCTATAGGTATAGCAATGCTGATTAACTGTGTGAGTGGGATCTTGCTGGTTGCAAAAAAATTCGTTTTCTCACTATGAGGGGAAATGAACATAAGCACACATTTTTAAAAAGAACTATGACACATAACATCTTATAATTGCATAGCATGTGTTCCTTAGCAGTGGTGTTTGAAGAAATCCTTATGCATGGTTTCCATATGAAACACAGGAAACCCACAGCATTTTTTTTTAAACAAATAGTAAGCTACAAAAAGCAGAGAGTGTACAAATTATCTGGAGAGTCTCATTTTTCACTCTCTTTTTTTTTCAAGCTAGCAAAAACAATACAGATGTTCAGGTTTCTGAAACTACATCAGAGCATGAAATTGAACCCTGGCAAATCCTCCTTATTTTTATTAAAGACTTGATTTGCCGCCATCTGTTAAAATGATAGATAAATGTCACCCAATACTCTTGATCATACAGTTAAAACATATCTTCAAACCAGACTACTGTCTGAGTAAGTAATTTGTTTGGAAAGTTAATATGTTCAGGAAAAAATTTTTGTTCGCAGTGTGTGCATGACATTTGATTCCTTGACAAGATTTCTTCTAACTTTTCATATGAGAGAAGAAAACATGAGAGAGAAACAGAAAGAGACAGAATGAATAATTGCATTTTTCTTTTTTCCACTGTTCAACAGTCCTGCAACTTTTAAATTAATGCATTTTTCTTGTTTGAGATTTTATTCACTATTGAGGTGAAATGATTAATTAAGCACTCAGTGCAAAAAGTTTAAATGCTAAGCTTTTTCAGTGAAAATACTCACCATAAACCATGGCCCCTCCTGTTTCGTGCAAAAAGCGGAATCTGTGATTTTTAAACAGCCAAATTGTGAGGATCGTGAGGATGAGCAAAAAATTAAAGACCAATAGCTCCACAGCACCCTGATGATAAAAATGGTCCTCATCTTTCATTGACTGCAATTTCTTCAACTTCATGTTGCTTTATTAACACTACTCTTAACAAAGTAACTGAAAAATGCCGAACTAAAGAAAACGTCACAGGTTAAATCCTGAATGTTTGCTTTTATAAAAGAAAGTCTAGCATAAAAAAGCACAACAAACACATCTGCTTTATTTGCAGTCTCTCGGCACACTGCCACAGCTGAGAATTCAACTGGATTCTGGTTACAACTTCCTGTTTTCTTCTTAAAGCTGTCCTCTCTCATTTTCTCTCTTGAAGCTTCATCAATATTTTCATTTTCCTTATGGAAGGGAGGGTCTGACTATATTAAAAAACATAAATATATTATATTTATGTGTTATATTTAAGTCAAGTATAGTGGCCACTACTGTTTTAAATTTTAAAGCTTTATTAGCACTATAGCAGGACCAACACACTAACCCTGGGTTAAATTACTTAAATCACAGGCCTGGATTTACAGCATATATTGGTATCTTGTTGGACTATCTATTGGAGATAATTTTTACTGCGATTCTGTGGTATCTGAGCAAGACTCTTTAATCAGCATTGATGGTGTCCCAGTTATGAAATATACTCAACATAGAGTTGCTATTTGTAAATAAACATCTGGTCATTTGAAAATCTCTGACCTGATCATTACTATAATGATCCTACTTGGACCAGGATACCCTGGGTGACTGGTTTGAGGTTTAATATGGTTGAACAATTGTATCAGATTCAATGCTTTGGAACAGACTCAACACCTATAGTTAGTCCAGAATGCAGCAGCCATACTGTTGTGAGGCAACTCTACCAGTGTAGGATAATTTATTTTAAGGCTACAGCACTGCTTATAATTAAGCTTATTGACTCAGGGCAGAAGGCCAGTTATCATTTATAAAACTGTATAAAATATAGCAGCAGAAAATGTGAAGATTCTAAATAACTTAATCTAAATAACTTAATCTAAATAATTTAAGAGTGCCTGCTAGGGTCAGTTTTCATCCCATCTGTTTTTTTCAGGGTTTTCCAATTCTTTGGAGGATGAATACTGCAAAATACAATACAATGTATGAGAAAAGAATGATTCAGCTGTCTAGTTGGCACCACTCTGCTTTTCAGGGCATAGCACCTTCCAAAATAAATAAATAAATAAATAAAAAAAATCTATATCTTGGGAAGATATATAAGAGAGTACAATCTGATAAAATAGCACACTATATACATTACTTGTTTGCCTTGCTTAAAGCCACAGAAGCATACCAAGCACACAAAAAATGAGGAAGTTGAAGGAAAAACTCCCTTCTCTCCAAGTTCCATTGGAGCAAAAATGAAGTGAATATAGGGGATGAAGATAGACTATCTTGATGAAGACAATATACTGGTGCACAGGATTGTTAGATGGTTATTTGAGAATTTAGGATGGATAAAATCTTTGTCTGCTTCTAATTATACCACTGGAATTGGTTCATTTTGGATCTTTTCCTTTCCCTGCCTCAGTTATCATCAGTGCATCAAACATAAAATTAAGTGTAATAGGGGAGGAGTTTGGAGGAGACATGCAGTTAGGCACATAAGTTGCTGGACTTGGGAAGATTAAAAAGGATCTGGAGATCATCATGCTTTCAGTGATATCATAGGGAGTGCATAAAAGTTTAGCAATGGATTTGAACCAAGGAAACTATTTTCTGAGTTTCTGAAAGAAGAGTTGGAGCATATTTCCAAGTTTCCATGTGGGGAGATAACAGAAAATGAACATATTTACTACATTCCACAACATTTTTTCCCTAAGCAGTGAATATAAGTTCAGCCATTGCTGATTAGCTCTCCATTGGAAATAAGTCCATCTCTTCTTTGGGAAATTTATGAACATATGTGAGCCAGACTGCTAAAATTAGATTATAAAGTAGGTCTTCCCTCATTATACAAAGCCCTTCTCCTGGCACTACTTATCCCACAGCCAAATCTAGCAAAGAAAGCAATATTGATCAAGGAACTGTATTGGTGTTCTTCACTTTTTCCAGAATTAATTCTTCTATAAATGATTTCAGATTTAGCTGAAAATAACCTAGATGTTCATGTTTTAAATGCCAGTACATGTACAGATTCCCATGGGTTGGAAAAGAATTTTACAAGTGGAGGAATATCGAAGAGAGGCAGGATACTGATAAACATAACCTCATAAGAAAAATCTCTTGACTATTTCTTGACTAGTTCTATTTCAGAACAGAAGAGAAATAACCAATGAAAATCCTTAGGCTTTTATCTCTAGCAATTTGTTAACAATCAGGAAAAAAAATCTGTGAAGAAAACTCTTAAGAAAAATAAGAGCTAATTCAGAAAGGTGTCAAATAATTCCATAACCAATTTGTCAATTATTATGTACAACTGGCAATTGCTGAATATATATATATATTTAAAAAATGAGATTTTATATACAGTTTGGGTGTAACATTTAAACCACATGTATTATTTTCTGAACATTTTCATTGTAATAATATGGGTTTGATCCAGAAATTGCATTAAAGTTTTTCTTTTGTATTATTATTTTAATTTTCAATATGTAAAATATGGACTACTATCAAAGTTCCATCCAAATAGGTGTTGTTCCATTTTTTGTTCTACTACAGCTCTAATATGGAATAACACAATGCTTTAAGAACTTTGGACTGGAATTCATGAGAACACAATTCATTGGTTATTTCTCTTCTGTTCTGAAATAGAATTAATCAAGAAAAAGTCAAAGAGATTTTTCTTATGGGGTTATGTTTATCAGTATAAAAAGGGAAAAGCCAAACAAGATGAAATGGCTGTCTGCTGACATACTGGAAATAAAAGAAGTGGAAGATGAAAGAATTTATCCAGTTAATCAGTGAGTTCAAGAGAAAAATAAGAAGAGACAATGAATTAAATCTCATTCCTTCATTTTTTTCTTTATAAAGTATTAACTACTGCAGTTGTCTCTCTTGGTGTAACAACAACACAAAGAGTTTTAATCATGCCTAAGTCTTTACAGCTGTGCAAATCTTACCCTTTTCTATCTCTTTGGAATCAAAGATAATTGCCTGTTTCTTTTCTTATATAGTAACATTTATTTCATATTTCCCTGGACAGAACTCAGACATATCTTATATTTCAATAGTCAAAACAAATTGGTGTTAATTTTTTTTTTAGCAACAGAAAGTCACCTTACACAGATCCAGGATATATGGAAAGCAATATTGCACTTGTGATTTTTGTTCATTTGAGGACACTATGAATGTCAAAGCACAAATCTCCAAGAAAATGAATTTTGTTAATACATTTGACATTAAAAATTCCAAAGCTCCTTGTTGTATTTTTGCATCTTGAATACATTAGCTTAGCAATTAATGCTGAGAGCAATTTGGTATACTGATTAAGGAATTAGATGAGCAACTAGGAGACTGCACATTCTAATTCTGCTTTAGACCTTGAAGCTGGATGGGTGACAACCCTGCACAGGCTTCTTTTGTGGAGAAAACAGGAAACAGAAATATTATATACCCTGTTTTGAAAGGTACAAAGGGGTAGGACATATACAAACAAAAAACAAACAAATAAATAAATACCCTGTACCTTAATAAATGTATAACAACAACAACAATAATAATAATAACAACAACTTTATTGTTACTTTGAAAGTACACCAATCGACATACACCAAAATGAAATTTTGTTACATACAGCTCTCAAAGGGTCACCACCTCCGATATACACTCCATGTTCATGGCCAGCTCAAGTTACAGATCTTCCATTTTAGTCTCTAGGGAGCGAACAGGACAGATGGAAATGGAGCTCCATGTGGATTAGCCCTCAAATTAGCTTGTATTCCTGCACAACAACCTCTCCTCCTTTCCTTTTTCTGATCTTGTCTCTTCCACCTTTTCTTTAAAGAGTAGGTGTTGCATTCAAGTATTACAGGCACCTAGGGAAGTTGGATAATTCAATTTCATATTTTGGGTATTTAATTTGTACTGTAGTCTAAAAAGTGCATATCAGAATAATTATACTTAAGACTTAGTTTTTCAGGTTTTTTTGAGTTCAATATTTGTTAAAAGCTGGAACCCCCAAATGTATATTTTTTGTTTAGGTTTAAAGCGGTGGTGGAATTCAGCCAGTTTGCACCACTTCGGCAGAACCGGTAGCTAATTTTTTGTTGCCCAGGCCCAGAATGGACTTCCGGAAGTGGCATCCACACAGAGAACCAGTTGTTCACAAATTTGAATCAAGCCACTGCTTTAAAAACTCCCATGGCAATATAGAAATGTGATCAAATAGATGTTCTCTCTCATATATATACACACACACACACACACACACACACACACACACACACGCTAAGTATAGACCAGTATAGGTTGAACTGAATATGCCAACAGTCTTCTGTTAACATTGGCTGTGATGTGATATGCCAGTGATGGCGAACCTTTTAGAGACCGAGTGCCCAAACTGCAGCCCAAAACCCACTTATTTATCGCAAAGTGCTAGGGCCGCATCAGCATTGTGGTGCTCTCAGGGGCAGTGGGGATGTGTGTGGCCCACAGGGTGGGCATGGTCGCTGGGTGGGCATAGCTGCGGTGGTCATGGCAGACTGGGTGGGTATGGGCTGGGTGGGTGGGGCAGGACCAGGATGGCAGGGACCAGTCCCTTCCCATCTCCAGAGCATTCCCAGGGGTCAACGCCGCTTGCTCGCTGACTTCCTGCCCCGTCACTTCCAACGCCATGTGCTGGCTACTCTGACAAATTCTGCTGGGGCAAAGGCATGTGTGCCCACAGAGAGGGCTCTGAATGCCATCTCTGGCACACGTGCCATAGGTTTGCCACCACTGTATGCCATATTTCAATTTATGCAATAAATAGTGTTTATTTTTATTTCAATTGCTCAGGAACAGACCAAAAGTTCTGGTATGCTATGCAATAAAAATATAACAAGAATTTGATATCTCATCCATCTGCTTTCCAGATGTACAAAACCTATAGAGAAGGCATGAAAGAAACAACACTACTCCGTTGGTCAATTGTCCTCCCAAAAATGCATACACCTCTTTTCAATTGATTTCCAGCTCAAATGGATGCTTTGGAAGTTGCTTGCAGCTGTCTCTACATACATGGACAGCCTCAAGAAAAGTGTCTGTGGAAATCTCTAAAAGAAAAAAAAGATGGCTCTGCTT